TGGTTCGTCAAGCTGGCGACGCCCAGAAGACAAACCATCCTTTGGTCTGGCTTCTGGACGGATCCCGAAGCGGAGGTGGGGGCATTAAGCTGCGGAATCTGGGGTTCGCGGGATGATCCGGGGTTCAACGAGCTTAGGTCTAGGACGTCTTGGAATCTAATCCAAGTTCGAGCGAAAGCGAAACCATGCTAGGCAGGCTCTGCAGCACGGACGTCCAAAGAACGGCTTTTTGAGTTTGCCGACATGACAGAGCACGACACTCTGCACCCCAGCACGGAGTTGGGCAGACTCATGGAAGAGCATCAACAGCTCCGAGCATGCTACATGTCCAAGAGCGACATGGGTTTGCGAATGGCCAACAACATGTGGGCCTTTGCAAGCTTCGCTTTCGTCCTCGGGATGAGGGAGCAGGGGCAAGGCACCGTGGTTGTGTTGGTAAACAAGAAGCTGGACGGTGAACGCCCGCTGCAGGATGCGGTAGTATACAGATTCGAAGTTCCGACATTGGGAATCGCCGCCTTTGGTATGGGGTTCTGGTCTCCGCACGTTTTGCTAATGGACATGATGGGTACCTGCGCCGAGATTAGCCCGGCCTTGCGAGAGAAATTCTTGGAAGGGGCGACCAGCTGGTATTTCTCAGCTGCAACATCAGCAGCAGACAGGCACTGGAGTGCACAAGACTATGCCCACCGCTCTGGACGCATCACCTGGGAATGCCTGAACTGTCCAGATGATCCGGGATACGGTTGCAATCTTGACGCTCGCCTCGCGCAGGCCGTGCAGAAGTTTCGGCAGGCTGGGCGGCTCTGTCATGCTATATAAGACATGATTTTGCTGAAAACTTGTTTGAGAGCAAGAGGTTCCTCAACGATGCTCGCTCCCAAAGACCGTGTCACTTCGAAGGGGGTTCCAAATCAAGTTCATTTGATTTAGGTTTCTTTGCGCAGGAGAGGGGCAAGAGCGACAAGAATTGCAATGCGGCGATCGCGGCGGCCGAATCGAGTCGTCGCTTCGTGCAGGAGAGGGGGACCGCTGGCCGCTTTTTGAAGGATTTCGTCTGGACAGAGTCCAGCACCAAATGCCAAGATGTGCCTCGACTTTTGCATTGTTGCCAAATCCAGATTTCCTGCCTGCATGTCTTTGCATGTCCTAAGGCTCGTGGCAACACGCCGCTCCATTTTGCAGCAAGCCTCGGCGACGAGGCAGTCGTCAAAATGCTGCTGGAGAAGAAGGGGGACCCCAATGCCAAGAACATGGGCGGCATCACACCTCTGCATCGCGCAACAGAGACAGATCACACAGAGGTTGTTCGCATGCTGTTGGCAAAAGATGCGGACCCCAATGCGAAAACCAGCAATTCTAAGGCGCCGGTGCATCTAGCAGCTTTGCAAGGTAATGCGAAAGTCGCGGGCATTTTGCTGGAGAAAAGGGCCGATCCCAATGCCAAAGATTATGTCGACGCCACGGGGCTTCATTCGGCTGCGCTGAAGGGTAGCGAGGACGTCGTACGCCTGCTGTTGGAAAGGAAAGCGGATCCCAATGTCAAAAACAAGCTTTCCGAGACACCGCTTGAGGGTGCAGTAGAACAAGGTCATGAGGAGGTCGTGCGCATGCTGCTGGAGCAGAATGCTGACCCCAATGCTGACGGTGACCACGGCATCAGACCGCTCCACCTGGCAGCGTTCGGAGGTAGCGAGCAGATCGCTCGCATGTTGCTGGAGAAGAAGGCAGATCCCAATTCCAAGGACGACCAAAGCAGTACGCCACTCCAACAGGCTGCACAGGAAGGTCACCAGGAGCTTGTTCACCTTCTGAGGCGCTTCGGCGCGCCGGGGTGAGGGGGTCCCCATTCATGGGAAGCAGTGCCTGCGTCGTGACAGACAAAGGCACTTCTCTCACCTTTTCCACGGCTCGGATGAGGAAGCGGTCTTCAGTGTAGACCGTGCATGCGGAGTCGCGAAGCTCAGGAGCCCGAGAGACGCTTGAAGCCCTTGACATCTGTGTGCCTGTAACCGTTAAAGTGTAGCGGTGTCCACAGCTTCCGAAGTCCCCAGAACCCTAAACCCCGAAACACCGAAAAACCTGAACCCTAAGCCCTGAAAGCCTGAAACCCTTAGCTGATTGGGACGGATTCCTCACTTGCAGGCGCGTGGATGTGCCAACGTTATGCATGCCTGGGCCATGCTTCAGCTCCGAGAGAGGCCCTGCCCGGCCGAGGCTTTTGCGTCAGGAGATCGTTTTTGGGGTTGGGGCTTAGGGTTAAAATCTGGGTTTAAAGAGAGGGGGTTTAAAGTACAAGTCTGGGAAAAGGGCTTTGAGGGTCATAGTCATGGGCTTCAGAAGGATTTGTTCTAAGCCGATGGGACGGACATCTCCGCCGAAGTGGCCGCATCAGAAGTCGCATCCGGCTGGGGTGAGCGCTAGGAACGCTTGAAGCCTAAGGATCTCAAGTCCCCTCAACCTGCAACCCCCAAACCCTAAACCACTGGTTTCGGCTTTGGGGTCAAACTACAGGGCCCTGGAATTACAAAGGGGTTTCGGGCCTCTTATCGCATAACTATGTATCATTACATAAGTAACCACAGGGTTTTGCTGTTGCACACGCTTTTGGGGACTGTGAAATTCAGTTTAGGGCTTCGTGGTGCCCTTACACTTACGCCCTGAACTCGCGTGGGACCTCCAACCCGAAGCCTTGGGGGCCAGGGTTTGGGGCGAGGGCTTGAGCCGTGGGGTTTGGGATTTGGGGTTTATTCGGTGATCCGTTATGCCTCGAAAAGCTGGTGGCGGGTCTGAACGCTCTGATGCATCCGCATTGATTCCCGCATTTTGTTGTGGGCTAGACAGGAAGCATGCTTGCTCCTAGTTTGCCTTTATCTTCAGTGGAGCCTAGGCTGGTTATGGATTTCTGAGTTTGCAGTTGAGGAAGACTCAGGGGTCAGATTCGGGTTTTAAGTTTTGGGTTGAAGGGGGGGGGGTTGAGAAGAAATTCATGTTTCCGGCCTCCGGCGGCTTCGAAGCTTGCCTGTCGGATGGCCGTCGCCTTAGGCCCAACGCCAATTTGTGCAGGAGTGTGGGTTTGGTGGAGTGCAGGGATTCGAGATGCCCCAGACGAACTCCCCACAACCGCTCCAAGAGAAGACCTTAAACCAGGCTCAAAACCCACACTGCCCCAGATGAGCCTTGCCTTTAGTGTCTCCGGCCCGCCAACTTCTGAGACCATAGACGCGAAAGCCCAAACCCCTGCAGTTTTCACTCTGTGCTGGTTTAGATGCAGATAGCAGGTACGCCCTGCAACCTTGCATTTTCCTTATGGGGCCTTGAGGACAGAGTTAAACAAATAAAAAAGGCCCTAAACAAAACAGAAGGGGCCCTCAAGAATGCGAGCTGCGCAGGCAGCTGCCAGAGCTCTGTTCTCGCGCTGATCTGCTCATCGCGGATTGCTCAGCCCGCGAGTTTGCGAAAGCCCCCGGAGGTCTCGAAGTCGGGTCTAAGGGTTTTTGGTTTAGCGACTATATGTTTAGGGTTTCATCACAGAGTCGTGCGAGCCTAGCCTATGTCGTTTTTCCGGGTCTGCCAGTCAAGAACGAGAAGGCGGGCCCTCAGCCAGGTTTTTGGAATGACCGAACCTGGCTTCGAGCTGCCCGAATCGGAACATCTGGTGAAGAAGTATTCCTAAACCCTCAACCCTACACCCCTACACCCGATGATCTGCCTCGCCTGGAGTGTCCGAGTGTGAGCGCCGAAGCTCTGCAGCAGATTCGGAGCTTCAGACGAAAGCCAGGCAATGAGCAAGAGTTGGCAAACATCATCTACTCTCTCGGGAGGCTCCGTGTAAAGGCCGGCTTCAGGGAGTTCGGTCCTGGTCCTCCAGATTCAGTTTGGCGGAGCTTTAGGCGTTCAGGGCTTAAGGTGTTTGGGGGTTCAGGTGGCCTGTGCAGCAAGAGAGGGGTTGGTTGTTCATGTTTCGAGGTGAGCTGGTGCGGCAGGGGTTTCAGACCTTTTATGGACACTGCAGCTCGTCAAGCGAAGCACAGGACCTCGATCAAAACTTGCAAGGTGGAGGGCATGGATTCAGCCAGGACAGAGAAGCAAAGGCAAGCAAGCTCATTCAAAGTGTAGCCTTCGGTAAGCATCCAAGGGCTTTCGTTTTTTTTGCCGGCCGCAGAGATGGCAAAAGAACGACTAAGGGGCACATAAAGGTGGTTAGTTATATATATATATATATATACATACCTCCCTCTCTCTCTCAAATGGTTATAGTAATGGAAATAATGAGCTCGTCATGTGTGTTGCCATTCACCAAGTCCATTGCTTCAAAAACATAATCGAAATAATGAGTAGAATACTATTACGAGCAGGTGCCGCTGCTGCCACGAGTGTGCACAGAGGCACTTGGAAGGCCGGTCATCGAGACGTTCTGTGCTGTTGTTAAATTTTTCATGTGTACGTGAATCAAACAAAGTACATAATCAAATAACCCGAAGGGCGGGACCTTTCTGTGGCAAATTTCATCTGCCTCTGCTTCGAAGCCCGGTAAAACCTACCATAAGCTACAACAGACAGACTGAGATTGAGACCCTATCGATTTCTCCGATGTGGCGTGACATCGGGTCAACTTCAGCATGAATCGGCATAGTCGAAGCATTTACACCAATTTACACCGAACTTACGCTCGACAGCTGGAGCTTTCCCTGTGAGGGTGTCTATGCTGTCTTCCCAGGACCTGGCATGCCGGGGAGGGTCTAGCAGCCTAGCCTTCAGGGACTTTGGCATAAGGGGCTTTCAGGCCTCGGCTATGAGTTTCGCCCAGCCTTTCGGTTGGGAGTGGCTCCTTTAGCTCCGTCTCAGGGCATTGGGACCGATGATTCTCAATCGAGTTGAGGCTTTACAAGGCAAGGCCGAGGGCTCTATCAAAGTAGGTTCTATGTTGGTATTAAGGTTTGGTGAGTGTAGAAGGGGCTGCTTGTGTGTGCCGTGGGTAGGGAGAGATCGTGCTCAGACCGGTGTGCAAGGGAGGGTTTCGGTTGTATTTTTTGCAATTAATTAGAGACTTGAAAGTATTTTGCTGATTGTTCAGACGACTATGTTACGGGTTCCAAGCTGGAGGCTTGGGTCACAGATTTCTGGGGAGTTGCCGGGAGGACGCCTTCCATCCAACACCCGGGCCTAAGCCCTAAGCCATATCTGACAGCATGCAACAGCACTTAATCCTATGCTTTCGTTTTGGTTTCTGTGAAAGATACAGCAGGCTCTTCATGGAAGCTCGAATTGCATCCTGACCCCACTCTGCTGGTTTTAGGGCTCAGGCTCGGGCCCTGGCCTGCTCGGCTCCACATTGGTTTGGGGTGATTCGGATTCGTGACGTGCAAACAGGGCGACCCAAGTTTCAAGGTTTCACAGTCTTGATCCGCAGCTTCGTTCCTGCTTGGCCAGGCATTCAGCAGATTAGGCAGCCTGACATTGCAGAATGGTCCCGCCTCAACTCGCAAATTGTCGCGCTCTCGGAGAAGAGCCCCACGCCCTCAGCCCCCTGGACCCGACTTCCTGTAGCCTCAGCCCCGCGTCGGTGTAGACTCCGAGAAGCCCTACACTCCAGACCCGACGCCGCCTTGCAGGAGCCAAAAGGCTCCATTTAAACTCACTTTGCTCTAGACAACATCACACACACACACACATCGCAACCCCGAAGCTCTCAACCCTGCAGTACACACCCTAAACCCTAAACGCGAAACCATCAGCCTCACAGCTCGTGCCATGCGCTATCTACGATGGCCGGTGCTGGGGTCTCTGGGGCTGACCGCAGCCATCGGCTCCGATCTGTTCGACTGTCGCTCGCAGTGGGGATGGGATTTAGTGGCCTGGTTTCGGGCTTAGCTTTCAGTGTAGGAGACGTGGGTTCGGAGAGCTTAGCTGTCGGGGGGGGGGGTCGTTAGAATGATGGTGAGATGAGGGCGGAGTGCCTGTTGCTTAGATCCCTTGGGAGCCTCTGCGAACCCCCCCAAGCCCGGATCCCGGAGCTAAGGTATCGATGACGATGAGTGGATGGATTTTCGGAGGCCGCTGCATGATCCAGCTCGGTCCTTAAGATACCCGGAAGATCCTTGCAAGATGCAGCTTTCGGGTTTCAAGGCCCCTCAAAAAAGGATTCGAGGGGGAGTGTCGACGGGTTTACAAGGGGGAATCTATGAAGTGGTCTCTCGACTTTCCCGTTGCGACGGATCTTTGGTGTGCAAAACAGGCTGGTCGAGGCAAACGCTGCAGCCGGCTACCCCACAGATGTGGACCTCGTAGTCAAGGCCGGTGGAGCCTGCACAACTGCTGTTCGCCGCCGTGAAGCTGCTATGGTCTAGCCTTGCCAAAGGTCCAGCAGCTTGACAATCCCTCGGATAAACGGGCTTCAGGCACTCCTCCACAGCCTCGGTTTCCTTCAACATCGTCCCTGTCAAGTGCTGTGCCGGCATCGCCTGACCCTGTCCAACCGCCGTTCACAATGCCGTGAAACCTCCGCAGAGGCTCAGGGCCTGGTGCAGCTGCAAGGATCCACGATCGAGGTTCCGCGTTCTTTCGGTACCTCAAATTCAGATTGTGTTCTGGATAGTATGAATTCATTGTGTGATCCTGAAACGCACCTGCCACAAGCAAGCTGCAGCTTTGGAGCTTGTGATAATTGAAACGCAGGCTGGGCTAGAGATGCCATGGCTGGGCACAGATTCAGAGATGCAAGCCGCAGTGTTTTTTTGAGAATGCTTCGATGCCACGCTGGACGGGCTCGTGACGGCAAGCCACCGTAGTTTCAGTGGTCAGGTCAATATTGCGACGCGACCCTGTTGCATGCCTTTTGCTGATGGCGCCTGAACCCTAAACCCATAAACCCCAAAAACACTGAACCCCGAACTCCCTCGACCCTACCTGGTAACCCCCACGTACGTGCTCCGGCAGACTGCCTGGGAGGTAGATCAGGAGGCCGCTTACGGTGCAGCCAAGGGGATGCGTGACTCTGCCAGACAGAGAAAGTGATTTGGGTCAGCATTTTAGGCGTTCAGGGTTTTCGGTAGAAGGTGCTTCATTTTGTTTGACTTTGCGGCCCTGATGGTTCGTGGTTGTCGGGGTTTGGGGCACTGACGGCTGTGAAACACTCGGGGGTCGGGGTCAAAGGTCAGAGCTTCGCACCGGCCGCAGAATGACCGCTCCATCTTGCACCGGATAACTTGAAACGGCCCCAGATTGCACAAACCGAACAAAATGCAATCCCACGATGTCCCACTCCTATAATCTCCCTACACCCGATCTCCTCCTTGCACGAGTTTTTCGGGGCCGCTCAGGAAGGATCCAAGTCTTTCTGGGTTTTATATGATCTTTTTCTCCGCACCCAAAGAAGTGCGACTGCAGTTTTTAGGTGACTTCCAGAGAAGCTGCAATGCTCCGCCCTCCGCGCCCACACCGAGTCCCTTCTGCTTGTGCTCCCGGGAGGGAACCGGGACATCTCGGATCCAATATACAGCTTAAAGTAGAAGTATTTTTTCTACAAGTACCCCTACGGCGTCCGGGGCTAGGCTTTCCTTTCACGGGTAGTTTTGTTGCGGTTCGGGTCGGGTTTGAGAGTAGAAACTCGAAGCTCCAAGCCTTCAAGCCTTCAACCTGATCAGAGTAGGGGTTCCAGGCCCTGGGTCGGGATATGGGCCGCTCGGCTTTTTGTTGTGGGATGCGGGCCTTCAGGGTTTCAGGCAGATCTGTGATACGAGGGTGTTCCACAGGCTTGAGGCTTTCAGGATTTGGTTTTGGGCTTCACTGGGGCCCCTGGAAGGTACGGGGTGGTGACGGCCCTCTGGGCTTCTCGGCAGCAGTGTTGATTGAGCTCCTAAGTCCTATTCAAATTGACTTCATGAACCGGCATGTGTGGATGATGGTGATGATGATAAGGATGGCGGTGGTACTTGTAGTGAGGCTGTTCACGATCATCAATCACGTTGCTGCTGTAGCAGATGCAGAGATGCTGATGCTCTGCTGGTGCTGCTACTTCTCATGGACGACGGCAGTTCCGAAAGTCTTACAAGGAGAGTCTTCCTGTCCCCTGCTTGGGTGGCCCAGGTCGTAGCCAGACATTCTCATCCAGATCGGAGAAATTTGCGGCTGGTCTGTACATTACACAAGTTACAGATGATCAGACTTGAGCATTTTTTGGCACGGCACTTGCGCGGTGCGATTTCGTTGTGTATATATATACACATGTTGCAGCTCATATGTTGTATATTCTACATTCTATGTTGTTTAATTACATATATAATGAATATATATATATATATATGTGTGTGTGTGTATGTATATATGTAGGTGCATGTACATAAGTATTTATATGAGCGTGTATATATCTGTATATGTATATAAGTATATGTATATGTACATGCATATATAAATATAAATATATATATATATATATATATATAAACTATATATATATATATATATAGACCCATACATATGTTTATGAAGTACAAAACAGGCTACACCCATAGGACTTGTGCCCCAGGCTGCAGCACGCCAGCTTCCTCCTGGGCTCCACGCTGAACCATGTGCTGGACTTCACGGACAGCTCTTTGCCTGGGTTGGGTTTGGGGCTGTTCAGGGTTTTAGGGTGTAGGGCGTAGGGTGTAGAACTTTTGTGTTTTTTCAGATCTATCCTTCCTTAGCAGGTGTTTGGCCGGAGCCATTTCTACACTGTTATGCTAGCTGAGGTTCGCAGTCGAATTGATGTGTGTGGGTCGATTACAAGGGCTTTGCTTTGGTGTGGGTGGGCGACGAACATGGCCTGCTCACCTTGCGCTTGGTCTTTGCTCAGTTATTTGGGGTTTCCCTTTGCTTATTCCCAGGTTGCCGTTCCTGGATTCTGGGAGTAGGACATGACTTAGTCAAGATGAACCTATGGTGTCTGCTTGATCTGAATACTTCATTTTCAGTGACTTGGAGTCAAAGCTTGAACGCAGTTAGTCTTAGCACCCGCGCCGGGCCGTCTGCAAAACAAGTTTCAGATGTGGGAGTGTCAGAAGACAGGGGACGGTAAACTAAATTCTGAATCAGAAGCTTCATATTGTAAGGCAGAAGGGACGCCTTGCGTAGGATCCTGCAGGCATGGTCAGAGCTGTGTAGGTCACTGCCATCCTGTATCGAAAACAGTGCAGACCGCAAACCCCTCTTACTCTTAGGGACAGGGTCTTCTGCGGGCTTTATATGCTATTTCTGACGTCAAGGAAGGATACGCTACACGTATGAAGACACCGACAAGTCGTGGATGTGTGTACAGAAGCGCAGCGCCAAGAAAGGTTCCGCCTGGCCCATCACGCTGGCCGATGTTCTTGCGAACATCGATGCTGCCGACCGAGAGCAGGAGCCGCAACTGACCTAAACATTCTCGCTAACCTCCAGCCAGCCATACAGCCCAGCACTTTGCAGCGCTTAAGCTCCAAACCCTGCTTGCAGTTAGACTGCTACGGTTATCTGTAGATCTACGTCTTGACCTCTCTCACCATCTGTCGATGCACCGATCAGTGCTGGCAGCTTTTGCTGCGACGCAACAGCAACAAAAATCACCGTAGCCACCACCACACCGCCACCACCACCAGCAGCAGCAGGACGACAACGACTGCGAATGCTGCTCCTACTGCTGCAATGGCTGTTTCTACTGCTACTGCTGCCACGGCTACTACCGATTGCAGTAACAAGAGT